TTTGTGTTCTACTGAAGAAACAAAGTCACCTACATCTTGGATGCCCTGGGGGTAAGCAGATAAACATTACATTTTAATTTTTGGGTGAACTATCCCTTTAAGGCCCATATTTTGGTTAAAAGTCACGTTGAAACGAAAGTAGCAACAGATATTTTCTTGAAATGAAAAAAGAAAAAATGTGGTCCTATGCATCGGTTGTTGATTGGATGTTGAGTAAAAACAGATGAACACACGCTTGTAGAGGTGTGGTTTAAACAGGGTAAATGACTGGAGGAGTCCTGGTCAATTTTTGTTTAAATGAAACATATGCACTGGTGAATTGTTCACAATATAATATGCATTTAGAAAATATATGAATAGTATTCAGAAAAATCGATTTGAGTCTTTTATTGAGTGTTTGCTGTTCTTCTGTAGGCTTTTAGTCGGAGCGCCCCAAGAAAAAGCCCAGCCCCAGCTCAGCAAATTCAACATTAATGAAACCGGAGGCGTGTATTACTGTCCCATCACCATCGACCAGCATGACTGCAGGAGGATGGACCTCATCAGTCCACGTAGGTATTCCTATGCTTAAAGGGTTAGTTCACCCAAAAATGCAAATTAGCACACAAATTACTCACCCTTAAGTCATCCTAGGTGTATATGACTTTCTTCTTTCAGACGAATCCAGTCGGAGTTATATTAAAAATTGTCTTTGATCTTTCAAGCTGTTTAATGCCACTCAGCGGGTGTTGCATGCATCAGTCCAAAAGAAGTTAAATAAAAACCGCCCATCCATTAAAAAAAGTGTCTCACACGGCTCCGGGGGGTGAACAAAGGCCTCCTGTAGCGAATCGATATGTTTTTGTAAGAAAAATATCCATATTCAAAACGTAATAATCACTTTAATGTAGCTTGCGCCAACAGTCCTACACGTAAGCAGCTCCGGGCGAATGACGTATGAGTTCAGTATTGCGCATGCGCCGCTCAGAAGTGACATCCACATATCAGCGCTCAGACAGTCCTATCTATTTCCCACAATTACCTGCTCCTGTTTTAGGCATAAGTGAAAGTTAAAACAAGCCTCAACACAGCAACCATAAAATTCACCTGTCTGAGTGCTGTCTCAGTCCATGTTATTCAAAAGACCTTCATCTTCACATTTCCAGCCTGCCTTTCTCCCTCCTCTGTCAGTTCGGCTTGACTGGCTCATGCTGCAGGCAGGTATTTGCTTCAGAATTAACATGATAAGTGTCTGAGTCTGTGTAACATAAAAGTTACTTTGAGCAGACGCAGAGCATGTCTGTTCTGGTTTACAGCATTTTTAGTAACACTTTAAAAGTATGGACATTTCTTAGCTTAGTATTTGTTAGCTTTAGTACTTGGTGTGGTGGATAAGTATACTTAAAAAAAACATAAAAATACATTATAAATCATACAGCAACACTCTGGCAACCACAAACAAAACTTTAGCATTGTGGTGTCGAGACTTTAGCACTAGTCGAAATTTTGTTTCAGCAAAAGCACTCATGAATTCATGGGAAATATAGACTATACTAGCATTTAAATTTTCATTGCAAGTGTCACAGTCTTTAAGTGTCGAAGTGTGCTTAGTATTGCACTCTTAGAAATTTTTTTTTTTTTAAACTATATTTGCGGATAATATCATATTAATTAAATAAAGGGTCGATTAAGTGCACTAAAAGATAATGCACTTTCATGACTGTATATTCTAAAAACACTTTTTCACTTCAAAGTACATTTGAAAGAAGTACATTTATTTTGGTGTGCTGACTAACATAATAAACCACAATGTACTTCATTTTAATTTTAACTGTAGTACTAAACTTAATTTCAAATGTGTAATTACAAATATTTAAATATGACATGCCCAATTCAAGTACAGAAGTCAACATTTGAAGTGAATCAAAACAAGTTGTCCTAAAACCAAAATGCGTTCTTGTCTTAGGACAACTTTGATGAACTTTTTTGATCCACATCAAATGCTGACTACTATATAGTATTATAGTGCAAAGTATATTTTATTTTACCATAAATGCTTGTCAATACATTCAGCATAACCATATCTGAAAGACAACAGAAGTAATTATGAAATTACATGTAAAGATGTACTTTAATTCTACATAAGTGGGTAAAAAAAGCACATTTAAGTTAAACTAATTGTATTTAATATAAATTTAAACCACAATACATTTTCATTTCATTGTAAATGGCATGCAGCTAACTGTCCGAAAATATTCCCTTCAGTTCACACTTCTTTTGAAGTATATTATTTCCATTATAAATATTCTTTTTAAAAGCATGCTTATGTTATTATTTCTGTTCGAGAGTCTCTCTCAAGCTGCTACCTCATCATTCAGATTGCGATATAGAGAAATGCTCTTTTTGGGCAGACTGAGGTATAAAGTCACTGCTGTCTGATGGAGTGTGTTTCTCCTCCAGCGCAGTCGACAGAGATGGTGGAGGGCATGTGGCTGGGAGTGACCGTGGCCAGTCAGAGGAATGGAGGACGTGTTCTGGTGAGATCAGATGCATCTTTGGTTCCTTTTTATATATATATATATATATATAATAAACAGTTTATTTGCAAAGGCAATACCATCACTTAAAATCAAAAAAAAAAAAAAAAAAACCCCCCTC